ACATTACCAGGAGTAGGTTTATGGATAAAATTGTCGCTCGTAGATTTTCAATTATTTGCGCTGCCGTTTGGACAGTGCCTTAGCCCCTTAATCAGTTTCTAAGTGAGTTGCCTTACTTGACAGATTTGACTGAATGCCTTTATGCCGGAAACATACCTCACGCGATATCAGTCGCGACGTGATTTGGTCACATTCCAAATGGTCATAACTTATCGTAAGGGGTTTCTGAATGTACGGAAGATAGGGCATTTTATCAACTCACGAAAGTTTTATGTGCTGCTGCGCCTTTGGAGTCTACAGCATTGAATTTAAAGAAGGCTGGCAATTAGCCAGATCGCGGGCGACTGAGATCGCGTGAGGTATGCGTTGGGTGAATCGGGAAGTCCGGGACACCCACATTTGGGAGTTGTTATTAACCAGTAAATGTTCCTTTTAAACGCTTTTTTTTCAAAGAACAAAAAATTATTACTCCTTTTCTTGTACAAATGTTTTTGTGTCGAAAGTCTGAAAATTTGAAAGATTTGCGACGAGTGCACATACAAACCAAAGCGAGAGATAGTTCAACTTCACAACATTGGAGGTGCACCAAGACCTTCGTGCCTCGTACTTCCCGGTTATGTCTTATCTGGTTCGTATTTTCAGTTGTATAGTTGTCTTTTATGTGCTAATCTTTTGCAACATATGTCTTCATATATCAATAAATGTCGCTTCTGCCATTTAACTACCAACCTGTACACAGAACTCAGATAACACTGCTGAGACTTCTGAAAAGCAGCACCACACTCTGCCTTCGCAAAGGTGTCAGTTATAAAAACGGAGTCGATATTTGGTACCACACCCCAATTCAATTGAATCATTTGATTGCTTGGCTCAATGAGCAGCTTAGAACTCCCTGTTTTTGTAAAGACCTGCGCAGAATTGTGTTGGTAATGTATACTTTGATTCAACGAGATTTGCTGGAAGGCGACCGCTCGCGTTCGTGGCGCAATCTGCATCTCCCTCGCGAACGTGCCCTCTGATCATTTTCTAGCTTTAATTAGGTCACGAGGCCCTACTTCCAGCCGCCAATTCCATTGAATTGAAGGGTAAGTGGAAAATCCGCTTATCTTTTGCCTCGCGCATTACATAACAGTCTTTCCGCTACATCTGTTAGTTTTAGATTAATAAAAGATGCCCTGATATTTCTCGACGATTAATTTAAGCTTGAAAGATGTCCGAATGTTGCTCTTGAGGTTTGAAAACATTTAATTGTTGAAATTACAAATCGCTTAAAAAGTTCCGAACGCAATTGATCGTGTTCGTGCACTTTGGCATGCTTCTTACGGTAGGTTGTTGACAATAAAGTGCTAAAATGCTGAGTGTCAAACTTTACCAGGGGTCTGTGATTGGTTGCTGGGTATTAGTGGGTCCGATGATGTAACAATATCGATGGATAGCCCTGCGCTCGTCAAGCTGTCTTGAGGATGAGAATTTCTGAAGCCTCTTAGATTTTCGCTAATACGTCCTCAAGGTTAGTATCAGACTCTACCAAAAAAATAAGTTGATAGAGGCTGCCATGAACGGATCTGGAGGTATCGAATTTTTGCGTATCTCACCAATTAAAAAGCAGTTGCATTGCAAGAATTGACAACTCAGAAAAAAGCACAAGACACAAGCTTTCAAGGACCTAAGCAAGGAAAATATCTTGTTTGCAGGTCACTGAAAGTTTGCTAGACAACTGGAAAAAAATTTGGGAGGGCTGGTCAACTTCGCCTCCCTCAATCCGACTAAACTTGTTGCACTTCCTATCTCTGACCAAGATCTCCCAAACACCATTTTTTTCGTCATATAAAGCAACGCTGGAGAGCTGGAACAATTTATAAGAAACTACAAAAAATTATGTGAATTGGAGGCATAGTAAATTTCCTTACTTATGCTTAGGTTGCCTCTGTCAGGATAAAGGTTCAAGTTCTTTACCTGGGCCCGTAGTAATCTACCCTACCTGGTGGCATCATAGATGCCGGCAGATTGGCACACATCGCGGAAAGATGCCAACTCCGCCGGCAGCTCGCGGAGTGATTGTAGTAATAATCTTATGTAGCCTTAGCACGCAATTATTTCGCACATTAAATTTTGATAACGCAGACTGCCGCGAAATTGCCATCTCGCGCGCGGTTCGAACCTATGTGCGTTAACTTGAAGTGCCACCACGTTAGCCATTCGACCATTCGGTCAGCAACTGCCGCTTGCCTCCAGCAATGGGAGGAACGCGCTGGTAAATGGCTGCCTGTAAGAGGGATCGATACATTGCGTGAGAGACTTTGACCTGAAAGAACAGCTGATTGATATGAGCGAGAGAGGGGCAAAATTGGTGCAAACGAGATTTATAAGGGATAAAAAAGATGGTGATCTTCATGATTCTAAGGCATTACTGGATTTTTCTCTGTAAGAAAATCGTCGTTTCAAAAAAGAAAAACTTATATGAGAAAAATGGTTTTTTGATGAAAAGTAGAATTTTTGATTTTTTCGCCTGACGTAAATTGTGTGATATCGCCGCAATTCGCAAACTTGCAGACGCCGTCGGCAAAGTTCCCACCACCTCGACGTGGTAGGGGCACGTCGAGATGCCGGCAGCTCCCTCTCTCAAAAGAGCACGCTATTTTCCGTGCTCTCTGACCTGCCGGCAGCTGCCATCTCGCGGATTTCGGTGAGCTGCCGGCAGGTTGCCGGCAACTGACATCGCGAAGTTGCCGGCAGCTCCTCCTGCGCTTCCAGATATTTTAACAAAGGAGGAGTTCTGGAACCGCAGACTTTTATGGGGTTTTCTACAGAGTCGAGGCGGCATCTCTATCAAGAAAATTTTTTTGGAATAAGGCCTGGGACGGCCTAAATTTGGGGTCTCAATTTCTGGCCACCTCACGGAAAAGGTGCCAGCACCTGCCGACGAGACCTGCCGCCAGGTCGGGGAGATTACTGCCGGCCCTGATGTGTAATAACGGGTTTCATTAGTCTTACTATAATATTTATTATACACAGTGGCGGTCCGAGGGGGGGGCGCCCCCCCCCCCGAGAATGGGTCGCGAAATTTTTGGAACTTACCTATATGGATTATAAAAATGTGCAAACGACTTGTTTCTTTTTGTAAATAATTAAAATAATTTTTTAAATTTTTTAAAAATTCAAATTAGCCTTATGAAAAATTTTTTTTCGGAGGCGTGGCTGACGCCACGCCCCCTTTTTCCGATTTTCGGGGTTGGGGACCCGCAAAAATTTCAAGAAATACCCCTAAAGTTTTTTTGGAGTGCGTGGCTAACGCCACGCACCTTCATTTGAAAAAAAATTTTTCCGCCCCCGCCGGTCCGAAGTTCTGGGACCGCCACTGATTATACAAGATATATACAAAAGGGAAAAGGGTGAAGGGGAAGGCAGCCGGCTAGTGCCGGCGGGCGGAGGTCACTGCCAGTGGGTTGGCTGTCTTCGGACAACCTCCTTCTCGAGCGCTGTTGTAGCTAGCTGCGTCTCGACATCTCCATTCCCTCAGGAAGCCTGGAGCTTGTGATATGGTTGAGGTTTCAAACTGTTGTAGTTGTTATTGACGTGATTGATGTTTTTCCGGGTAACGTGCGTTGGAACGTGCACGTAATATACGGGGATAACATACAAATTGAAGTAATGAGTATATTGAAGATACATAG